TTGTTAACGTCATTCTTAAAATTCGAGCCCCCCCTCTTTCAGATCTATCATGCATTCGTGGTTAGATTAACAATGGCATAGCTAATGGGGATGTATCAATAATATTAATGGTCCTCATTTATATGTACAACTTCAGTTTGTAGCTTTGAAGTTCCCCTAACTTCCCATGTTGATAAAAGTGCACGAGGATTTTCAGTTGAAAACAACATTGTTAGTGTCCTGATATTCCAAATCCTGTATCACTGTATGAATCTGTCAGCTGTTATTGGAAGAAACTTGTGCCATTCTAAGGTTGTAGATCAAAGATCGGAGTTTGTTGGTAACTAAGGAGCAGTAACGGCCTCCTATGATGTAGACAGGGAAAAAGTGCTCTTGGCTCATTTCAGCAAACCGAGATGACGGAGGTTTTTTTCTTTTGAGCTCCATTGTTGCCCTTATTTAAAATACATATTTACAGTATCTTGTGCAGACTCTCCAAGTTTTTAGTAACATTTGTTTTTTGCAATATTTGCCTTTCATGAAATGGTAATTCCAAGTATATCTCTAAAGACCTGGCAGAGCATTTGAATGGATTGCATCAGCCATTGTGGAAGATTTCCCATTTTAGACCAGGAGGAATTTGTGGGGTCAAACGCTGAACAATGAAAGAGATTCTTGCTCATTTCAAGGCTGAGGAATCCAGTGGCAGTTGAGGGTTTGAATTGTAAATCAAGCCTGTCATCTCCTTGTCAACTAGGAAAAACCTCTACTCCCTTTATGCACTATTAGGGTTTGTTATTAGGGTTTTTGTTGTTTTCCAAAAATTTGAAGGGAAATTAGACTCATAAGGCATTTGTTCTAAGTGAGCATTGAATCTGAACTTTGGAGAAGAGGAACAAAAAACAGAACTATTTAGAAACTCTTAAATGATTAGACAGTGTCTGTCACAATTATGACTGTATCTAACCAAATTTATGGGGTCACTCAGTGTTTCTCAATGGGTGCTCTGTGGGGATCACGAGGAGCCAGCACATGGCTAATAGACTGGACTTCAGTGGCTTCACTGTCTATGGCAATATTAACAGACTGAATTTATAAGGAATGAATACATTTACACGTGAAATTTAATGAAAACTAACCTCGCCTTGTTTTCACCAAAAGCCATTTCGACTTTTTTTTTTTCTTTCATGAAGTCTGGTGAAATTTCTTCTCTGGTCATAACCGAGAATGGGGGGAATAAGTGGTCTGCACAACCTCTTGCCTTGCTGAAAACTTGGTTCTGGGCCAAAAAGTTTGAGAACCACTGCCTTAGGAGTGGAGAAAAGGCACGCTGTTTGGGGTGGTTTATTATGATGATTCAGGCTTCATTATCCATTCCACAAATATTTATTGAACGCCTACCATGTCAGCTCGATGCAGTGGAGCCTGGGGTATGGCAATTGCCAAACAAAACTCGGTTCATTAAAATGTCCCAGCTGGTAAAACAACAGAAGGGGAAAGAAGAGGTTGAGGCCTGACTTCTGTGGCTAAAATCGTGTCTGAGTGATTTGCCCCACCTGATGGATGACACAAGAATATTTGCAGGGCTTTAGTAGGAGTCTGTTGAGAGAATAGTTATTACACTCTTTGCTAGGAAAGAACTATAATAATAGGCCATAAAAATAGGCCAATGGTCCTTCACTAATACATCAGACCAGATCGTACTAGTTGATAAAAGTAATGAAACCTGTGTGGTAGAGTGGTACCATTTAGAAAAACTATCACAAACACCCACACAGCAAGGAATGAGTAAGGGTGTGCTGTTTGCAGAGGGCTAAATGTGGGAACCGCAGTGCATCAAAATAAAGCAGTTGAGGTTCACACACTTATATATACACACCCACTTGCCTCAGACTTTATTAATCACTTAAGCCTATTTTATTTTAGCAACTGCCATTTTACCTTAGGACTTTTATTCCACCACTATGTTGCCAAAGCTTTTGGTCTGTGGCATCCATAGCATATAATAAATTGATACCGATTCGTTCGTGTTTAAAAAATATAATAGCAAAATGACAGTAGTCACTTGGCTGAGTATATTGATGACTGAAATCTAATTGAAAGCAGACTGTATTTCTCTGATTAGTCCTGTTCCTCTAAATGTAATATCCATACTGTGAGGGCTCAGTAAGACAGTAAATCTTTTATGGCTGGAGCTTATTCTTTTCTCAAGCCTCAACACCATAGTATAATTCGGTGGTATTTGCTGCAGCTCATATGCACATTACACGTTGGTTACAGCACATGGTAACCAATAATTAAGATAAAGCTGCTAATGTTGATATCAAGCAGAATTGCTAAACTATTACCATTATAGGCTTGAATTTATGGGGAAAGTCAGCAGTTTAGTGAAGTAGGGTTTGGGGTAGAGTTGTGATTATGGTAGAAAAATACTTTCTTCCCACACTTACCTGGCAGGGCTTGGCCGATCTCTCGCCTCACTTTGGCTTTTTAATGAATCCCTTTTAATCTTCAGTCGTGGCACTTCCAATCTTGACCACTTCTATTAATTAGACATTAATCTAATTATTATCACTAATTACTACTTTTAGATGTACGCCATAAATGGATTTATATGGAGCTTTCCCATTTTACTGTCAGGTCATAGGTCATCTTAATATTGGTTAGTCATGTTACTAATGCTGGTATTCTTTTGTTACCTTAGCAACTAAAGCTCTTATGTGGTATCCAAGAAAGACTCACCTTCTAGCAAATTCTCTTTTATAATAGGGAATAGTTAACGTTAGAGTGTGGTTCTAGTAACACTTGCTCACAGAACCTCCCCCGCCCCACCTCCAAACACCATACCCTTAAAATACAAAGACCTTTCTCCATAATTCAGGCATGTCTTACCGGACTCCTAACCGATCAGTGTGATATAGAAATGAAGGAACTGAGGATTATATTTATAGGCTTGTTGTAAAGGAGGGGAAATTGAGGCCCAAAGCAGTTAAATGACCTGGCAGTAGTTAAGCAGATCATGGTCACAGAGACAGAGAAGTTCCAGGAAAGCATTTAAAAATTTACTAGAAAAACAAGACATATTTAATTAATGGATAACCCAATTACTCTGTTATTTTTTATATCTTCGATCAAAACCAGTTTCTCACCCTTTATTTTGAGGCTTAGATGTAAGTCAGCCTTCACAGGGGAGAGGAAAGATGCTCTCTGATAAGTGATGGCAAAATCAAATGCATAATGAGATTTGAGAGTTATTTTAATTGCTCATGACTTCCCTCAGACAAGGACAAGTGGAAAGCTTCTAAAGATACTTGTGTTTTTTGCTTATTCTAAATATAATAAAGTAATTTACACAATATGCCTGATCCAGGAAAGCTGTAAAATTATGCTAAGTTACTGTGTTGGTAGGTGACCAGTGAGTGGGAAGTCATTCCAGACATGGAGGGGAAAGGGTAGTACTTAGTGAAAATTGTATAATGAGGAGGCAGCATGAAGAAGAGTTTGCATGTGTAAATTTGTTTTGTTCTTTAATATCTGACTAGGAGTGTTATCTAAGGCAAGTCTTTTTGCTTTGCATTTCAGGAAAGCGGAAAGCATGCACCTATTCCCCAAAGAAGGTCAGTTAGTTAGTGTTTGGGGGAAGGGTATAGTGACAGACAGAAGAGCGTTAGGGTGTTTTGCAAGATAATAAAGCTTCCTTGGAGGAAGGGTACCTATTTCTTGAGTAGAAGCAGAGTTCCCTCTTTCAAGGGTGAAGGTGACTTGGGATTCCTTTGGTATCACCTACAGGCATCATTTTAAGGAAGCAAATTCCTTCCTGTGCTTCAGAGATAAAGCAATAGGTTTTAGTCCCTTGATAGAGCCATGTCCTACCAGCAGCACATGTAGCTTATTTAAACTCAACTCTATAATTGGCAAAAAGTATGATTTAGAAAATGGTTTAAATTGTGAAACTTAAATTTGCATAGTATTTTATGATGTTTAAAAAATTTTTATGTAAAAAGTGTGAACATCTCTGGTGTCGTTTGAGAATGTTCCTATAATAAACGCCTTTGTTTTGTCAGAAAAAATTGTTTTATGTTACTCTGTAGGTTAGTAACCATGAAACTATGCTTATGTATTTATATCAATTTTAGGGAGGATTTATAAAGGTAATTTTGATTACGCTCAATTTTTGCCTAGTAAACTTACCTTAGAACCTAATCCCTACATAAGAACACACTAGAATGTAACATGTGACTGAGACCATAACATAAGGTTTCTCCCCACAAAGCTACCTTACTCCAGATAACTTCTGTCGATCAGATGGGCAATGGCCTTAATCTGATATTAATTTCAAGTTAGCCTGTCAAACCACAAAATATCCAAGGTAATGTTTTCTGCATTTTCTTATTTCTGTTTCTCCCTGCCTAACTCGAATGATACTTTTTGTTGCGGCATCTGTGACTGCATGATATGAAAAGGAATTGAAGACCATGGCTCACCACTGGGGACATTTGCTAAGCTGGCTGCAGGGCTACTCTGCATCCTATGGTCATCCTGAAGCTTGGCAGGGTGATCATGGCTGAATTACTTGACCGCTGCTCCGAGTTGGTCACCGCACTGTTGATAACCCTGTTTACTGCCCCCTCTCTCACTTTTCTAAGTAGCCAACTCCGAAGGACAGGTGTGAACTTTGCTTTGGCATTTTCTTGTGCAGGTGCGGTCTTACCGGGTAATAATACAGTCCAGGTGGTTTTCCAGAGGCAGAATTTCTGCTGCAACAGCCCCATGGCATTTTTCTTCAAAGTACAATAAATATGCATTCAAGCAAACAATAGGAGCGGAGACTGCAGAAAGCCTAGTGAACTTCAGCAAGGCAGGACCTGTGTTCGTGTTAATGTTTATCTTGTCTAATTTGGGGATTGGCATAGAAAGGGGCTCCCAGCAATTGCCTTTCGCATGTTTCTTAGGTTGAAGCAGAAGATATTCATGGATTTCTGTTTTCCTTCCTCCCTCTCCCCCTGTCCCTACAGATTTATGAGGAATCCAAGATGAATTTGGAGCAGGAGAGGCCGTTTGTCTGCAGTGCCCCGGGCTGCTCTCAGGTGAGTGTGGGGATCCTTTGGTCTGTTCTTATGAGGATGTAGCTGCCTTTTGACAGCGAAACAGCTCTCACTTGGCAATCATGCCTGCTGTGTGCTTTCTTTCTTGACTGAGATATTGTCAAAGCCCCCTTCACCACCACCACCACCACCACCACCACTACCACCACCATCATCATCACCATCTTCTTCCTCATTATTACTATTTTCTACTTTGAATAGTTTGAACTACTTCCCTCACAGCCCCTGAAATACATCAGCATTAGCCATTTTCACCCTTAACTTTCCCCCTGGAAGTAAGCCAGACGCATCCTGCCCACCAGATGTTCAGGACTGTTATTTCAGAAAGGGGAGGGAGGATGCTGCTTTTACAATAGTCACTTGATACGGGGCCTTTGAATTACTGGTGAAATAGCTCACCATCAGAGCTGAATTCTGTTTTCTTTTGTTTTCCTTTTTGAGTACAATAGGCCCCCTATAGCTTTTCTAGAACCCACAGTTTTTTCATTTATCTAAACTTCAAGAGGGAAAGTTGGCATGCTGTGCTAGATTAAACCTCTTTGCCTCCAATGGCTCCCATTAAGTGGAATCATTGTGAGGATTAGATGAGATACTACATGTATTTAGTATAAGGCCTGCACATAATACTTGCTCAATTAATGTTCACCATTGTTACTATTACTGCTGCTATAACTATGGACCGTGTGGCAGAATTTCCCGAGCTTGGCACTGTTAACACTTGGGACTGAATGATTCTTTGTTGTGAAGGGCTGTCCTGTGCATTACAGAATGTTTGGCAGCATCCCTGACCTCGACCTACTAGGTCCCAGTGGCCACTCTCCAGTTGTGAAAACCAAAAATGTCTCCAGGCATTGCTAAATGTCCCCTTGGGGGCCAAAATGGCCCCCAGTTGAGAATGACTGCCTGATGGTTTGCGTTTGGCTTTAGCGTTGTTGTTTTTTAATCCCTTCCCTTTTGGGGGTCCCCTAATTCTAGCTGATGCTCTTCCGCTCCATTTTATGTGTTGCTGTGAGCCGTCTTTTCTCATTTTTGGAATCAGGCAGGGTATAAATAAATAATGCCACAGACGTGTGGTCACTGGTGTCAGACGCTGCTAGAGCCGGGACAGTGAGAGGCTGAGCAGAGGCTGTTGGGTTTGGCAGTTGGGTTCTGGCGGGTGACCTATGAGAGAGGAGTCCGGGTGGGGGCCAGGTTGGAAGGGATTAATGAGTGAGTGGGTGGTGAGGAAGTGGAGGTGGCCAGCATAGAGGACTCTTTCAAGAGTGCTAGGGAATGACTGGAAACAGAGTGATATAATGGTAGCCTGAGAAGGAAGCAGCCCGAGAGAGCTTCTTTTTAAATGAAAGGCTAGCTGGGCGGGATTTAGTCAAGGGCAAGGGGAAGTGAGCATGTTGGATTGAAGAACCACAACTGAAGCGCCAGCCCCCAGAAGACAAGGGTGTGGAAGATCCCATGAGGGAGAAGGGGGTGCTATTCCTCTGAGGCAGGAAGGAATGGAAGTAGCACTGTGAAGTTATATGCAAACTCTAAGGTAGAGACGGTAGTGAAGGCTGAAGGATGCGTTTCTAATGACCTTGAATTCAGGGAAGGAGCAGGTCATTTCCTTCAGAAGGCTGAGTGGACTGGTTGGACAAAATGAGAATTGAGGATTTCTGTAGTTTCTTTGTTTTAAGGTAAAACTCCAAGCCTTTCCCCTCAACCCCTTACAAAGCTGCATGTAAAACTTGATGTTTTTATTTAAGGTGAAAGTGTTTCTTTTTCTTGACAAGTTGTTTTAAAAATATGTGCATCTTTCAATTGAAGAGGTATTAGGATTGAGGAAATGTAGCAGTTGCCTAGTGATTCCAAGGGTTTCCTGGTGGGGTGTTAGCAAATCACAGTCAAATCTGTTGTTGTGATCATGGCATTTACTCTAGTGACCTTCCAGAGCCTGGGGACCTGCATCCAGAAGAAAGGATGGCTGGGGATTGGAAAGGGGAGTAAATGTGAGTTATCAGTGCTTGTGCTACGTTGGCAGTGATGGAAGGATGTTTCCCCCTTTTCCCTCATGGAAACAAGCTCTGCTCTATTAAGGAATGGTCTATAATACCTGGGAGGTTTTTTGTGTTACAGATCCTTATACATTAGCTTTGTCCCAGAAGTGAAGAGAAACAAGCTTCTCTTGCTCTTTCTGAGCTCAGAGTCCATTGTTAATTTCACAGCTCCTTTGCCCTCGACATGAACATGCTTTGAGTTCCAGGGGCCTCTCTCAGCTGTGTATCTGTCATAGACTGTACATTTTGGTTATTTACAATTTGCTGCTCTTTTCCTGCTAAATTAAAAAGGCCCCATGATGTCCCATATTGTCTCTTTGGGGAGGTATTTATAGTTAACATGACATATTATGGAAATTATTGTTATTTAATGAGTAATCTGGATAATCTATTCTAGGCTATTATTTTACAGAACCAAAAAATGGCTTACAAATATGAAATGTAGGATACTACCATGTTGTTTTTGATTATATATATATCCCAACAAAAATTATAATATGGATTTTAATGGAAAGACTAAGAAGTTTAACCCATCTCTAAACCACACATGGTAGTGTCCCATATTTGATGTATACATTATAAGGTATGATAAAGGTTCAAGAGAATAGATGAAGCTGCAGCAAAAAGTCCTTATACATCAGACTTCTATGTAGTTAATACTCTGACATAATTGCTGTGCTTTACAGATTGTATATGCTCCAATTTATATGATACAAATGACAAATAACTAGGTGATATTTATTCCCAAAACTACTTTCAGAATATTCCAAAGGATTTAGCCCAGTGAATTCCCTCATTCACATGAACACAAATCTGTACCATTTGCAGAGAAGATTTCTACCACAGTATACAATGGTAATTGAAACTTATAATGACTATCTTGAGGAACTGGGAAGCTCTGAGAGACTTTCTGAACTGTCAGAGATTCAGAAATGTTCAGCAGAGTTTATTGTCTTTTGTTATGTTTTCATTTGACCTTGATAAAGCAGATGCTCTGTTAAGTTCAGTTATTAAAACATACCAGCCTGAGTCAGGAGAGGCTAGGATCTACTGCAATAACAAATCACCCGAAAGCTTCAAGGGCTTAAAACAACAAAAGGCTTATTTCAATTGCCCAAGCATACATTTCTGCATTTCTGTTGTAGCTTGGCAGGACCTTCTTCATAATCCTCTAGAATTCGAAAATCCTTCAAAGATTTAGGATAATTGAGGGGTCACTATTTCTAATACTGTGAATTGCCATGTTAAAAGGAAGAGGGTCTTGCACCAGGAATTAGGTGCTGGCATGTGAGTGACCTGTCATTTCCATTCATGATCCATGGGTAGAACTAGTCACATGGCCCCACCCAACCACAAAAGGGCCAGGAAATCCAATCCCACTGTGTGACCAGAAGCGAGACAGCTGAAAACATTTGAGAGCTGCATTTTTAACAACTGTAATATCACTCTTTGAAAATGAAAAATAAAGTGTTGGTTTACTACATTGTACAGAGTATAGAATACTAAAAATGACTTGTCATGTGACTATAAATCATCTATACACTTATAAAAGATCACATAATGAGCGCAGTGTGCAAGGTCTTCATAAACAGAAACATACTATACAAATGTCACATGCACATTTGTAGGTGTTTATGTCAAACAGTTAAGCATGACATGTAATTCTTTCCAATGTCTGACATGAATCAAAATTCTTTTCCTGCTTCATGCATTTTTCCTACTTTTGGTTAATCTCTAGATAACATCTAGCATACTTATTATGCCTTAGACTATTTTATACTATTTTGTAGAATACTATTTTATACTAGTATGTAGAACGGTAACTATTAGACAAAAGTTCCAAATAGTTTTGCAAAACCCCAGTGCTACTTAGGTCTAAGTTCATTTTTCTATTTTGGACATGTTTTCCTCTCATATATAGGTAGAAATAAGAGAATTTACTTTGTTATGCTGCCACTGTTCATTTCTTTGTGAACATACATGAGCATTCATTCAGACACTCTTAATCTTTGAAGGTATAGCATATTTCTATTATATAGATTACTTGAATACTTTCAGCATTGTTCCTTTACCTCTTTCTCATTTATTCTTTAACCAAACACAAATTTAAGGTCTTCCCTCAGATGCAAACCTCTAGTTCCTAAGGAAATATGTAATTGACTGATGGGTCTTCACAGTTGATTATATTCAAAGAGTATTTAGAAAGTAGAGGCCTTTAAAGGAATTCCCAGGGAACGTGTAGGGAGTCAGAGACGATGGCAGGCAAAGGTCTCCTATTTCTTATTACTGTTCAGCCAGATTTTACTGCAACCTAGTTAAACCCCTGGTAAACTATAAAGGAAATAATGATGCATATATTTGGGTGCAATTCAAAGGAACATCTCAGCACATTTGCTTGCAAAAAATAATTTGGCATTTAACTTAGCATGCTTTCACACTTTTTCGGAACTAATTTTTTGTTTTGCCTGTCACATGTACAATGCTGAATACATCTTTTTCTCTGTGATGGCAAATATATATTATAAAACTGAATGGCTCCTCTCCCCCCCTTTTTTTTCTATTTGTCCGACAGCGCTTCCCAACAGAGGACCATCTGATGATTCATAGGCACAAGCATGAAATGACTTTGAAGTTTCCCTCAATAAAAACAGACAATATGTTATCAGGTAAGGAGCCATCAGGCAAAAAGGCTTTGGGTGAACGGATTAGCCGCATGGGAGATACTTGTTCTTATGACAGGATGATTTCCATTGGCATGTTCTGTGCCTTGAAGATGTATATTTCTAAGGTACAGCAGAGACTTAAAATAATGGTAGGCAGAAATGTAATCAGCTAATGTGGTGTTCACTCAAATAACCAAAGAGCTGTGATTTCTCATTTTCAGGAATGTAAAATATTTATTACTATGGAAGTTGGCTCCATATAAGTATTTTTAAAAATCACATGCCTGTAATCACTCAAGCAAGACATCTTCATTCAGTACCTAGTATGCTGTTCTGAGTACCACGGGAGACGCAAAGATTGGTATGATTCCTGTTCTTGAGGACACCACACTATAGTGTACATGTGAAAATGTAGCTGAACTAGAGGACTGTCTAAGATATGTTTCACATGAGTATTGTAAGGAAAATGCTATGTGGCTTTAGTAGAAGGAGCTCTCTCTCTTTCTCTCTCTTTCTCTCTCACAGAGGTGATCAGTGAAATTTTTTTAAAGAAACAGTACCTTCCTCCTAAGTGAGAGATTAAATGAGATGATAATGCATGGAATCATAGCAAGTGCTCAGCAAATGTGAGCAAAAATAAACAAACATCACAATTAATCCATCAAGTAATTGCCATTCCTTCCCATTTTGATAGGTGGTGCAATGAATTAAAACAGAGGGCAGGGCCAGGAGTGGGGAAACTTGAACTCTAGCATGGGCTCTCTGCCAGATGACCTTGAGCCATGTTAGTGAACCCTTTGGGGCCTCAGTTCCTTTTTCTGTAAAATGGGAATGATTTTGTCTGCCCAGTTTATTCCATGGGCTCATTGTAAGGATCCAGTGAAAGAATGTAAATGAAAGTGTTTCCTAATCCCTGGTAGGGTAACTGAAGCCTTTCCTGTTACCCTTGTTAGGCTAGAAATATTTCACTGAAGCCACTGTCTCCTCGGCATCACGAGGGAGATAATACTCCCATAAACATGCTTTAAATGATATCAGAAGAGAAACGGACTGCCCTGGCAGGCCCAGCTCATATAATTTAGCATTTCTATGGCACTTAAATTTTACAAGTATTTTATTATCCCTATTATTAGTAAATCCTGTAAGAGTGTTGTCAGGCAGGTTATTATTACAACTCATATTTTACTGATAGAGAAGAAGGGGCCAAAGGAGACAGAGCAGCTTTCCCAGGCTGACCACACAGGGCAAAGATGAGGGTCCTTGCTGCTGAGTGCTAGACCCTTGACTTGCACGGTGGCTGCATTGTCGGGCTTAAGCAGTTGACAGGTACGATCTCATACTCCTGGGGACAGAGCCATCTACACATCTTCACAAACCTGCCCGTGACTTGTTAATGGTGCAGATGTGTTGTGGCTTGGAAGAATCTCTAGTTCAAAGGCAGCCTCTTTCCTTGCCTCCCCCGCCACCTACCACCTCTCTCTCAGCCTGTTCGTTTTGATTGAACTAGTTGGCTCTTCAGAAGTAGTTTTATGTTCCCTTAAATCGAGAAAGAGAGATGCAGAAACTTCAATCTGTAAGAATTATAAAAGCCCAGAAGGGTTAGGAAGGATGGTCTGTTCTTTTGGTTTTATCATTTAGTTTGTTCTGTCATTTATTTTTTTTTAATTTTTTTATCGTTTTGTTAATCACCATACATTACATCATTAGTTTTTGATGTAGTGTTCCATGATGTTCTGTCATTTATTATACACTGTAACTTCATAGTTAAACAATGAGCAGATATGTATGCAAGTAGCAGGGTTCCCAATATTTCAATTTATAAGTTCGCCTTTTATTTTTCCCAAATCGAATTCCGAAAATAGGTTCCTTGGTGGTAGGAGAGTGGGAAGTGGGTGTTAAATGATGTGGAGATATTACTGCTTAGTGGTAAGTACCAGGTAGTATCTTTCAGGGACATGGCTGGGATGGCCCTACAGGGAGCCCCATTCAAAGGTCTGAAAAAAAAGGAATTTAGGATGTGTGAACACTTCTGTATGTTGTCTGTAAACAGGCTTTTGATTAAGTTCTTGCAGCTTTTCAATTGTTCTCACCAGATCTTCGTTAGCTTGAGGCCACTGTTGCCAATAATTGCCAGTGCCAGGTGGAAAATTATTGAGAGGAAAGGCTCTCTAATTTTTATTATGTCAAACTTGGAATAAGAAAATGAAGGGAGAAATAAATACGAGGGAAAATAGCATGGATAAAATATTGGTGTGTTTTCTTCTGCTTTCTCAGGGTTTGTGTTGAAGCTAGTATGAGGCCATTTTTTACTCCAAGTGAAATTAGGTGCTACGTTTTTAAACTTGCTATCCACTTTGCATGCTTGCAGTGTCATAGAATTTTCTTGCTGGAACAGAAACAGAGCTATCCAGTTCAGCTCATTACTTTGCATTTAGGGGACTGAGGTCCACTCTATGTCACAGGCCAGTGTTGTCCACACTGCATTGTAATAGGCTGTCTGTTGGGTATTTTTGCTTTGTTGTTGTTGTTTTTTTTCCCCAAGAAAGACTTAGATGTATTTATCTCAAACCTCATGTTAATTTTAACATATTAGATTGTGACTGCAAATGTGACTGAAGTTTTACTTGTCTTATATCTTAATTTATTTAGATTTGAATTTATCAAAGGCTCCAAAGTCTACTAAAATATCTGTTAGAATTTTATTTCCGAATGTACCTTAAGCTTATTTTGTGGCCTATCTTAAGGATGAATGATTTCCTACAGCTTGAGATATAGTAACAGAAATAATAAAAATTGTATAAATTAAATCTGAAATCAGCGTTCATCCTCAGGGCAAAAATCTTCAAGCCCCTCTTGGGCCACTTTTTTTTCCCAAGCAATATTCAGTTACACAAAATTTAATTTCAGATGCACTGGAGTTTGACACATATTATGACGAGGAAATATGGTAGGTGTGTTCATAAGTAATTTCAGGATATCTGGTTAGCTTGTATTTTGGAAAATTACTTCATCCTACATTAATTGCAGATATTACAGTCAGGGAAATTATTAAGATTCCAGAGATAGACTTTTCGAAGGTAAGTGTCCAAAGAGTTGTAAGATCTGAAATAATTTCCTAGCTTTGCCATAAAGTCCATTTTATTTAGACCAGGTACAATTTATAACTCAAAATGATTGTAAATGATCTTTAACATGCCATAAGGCAGAGTAGTAAAAGTGACAGTCATGATGTTTTAAGATGAGTCTGCTCTTATGGATAGACAGTAAAATAAAACCTCATTCCAAGGGGACAGTGCTAATTGGACATGCATGAATGGGGTGGTGATGGTGGATTCTAAGGGCAAAGACTTCTAGCCCCTCCCACCTTGGTCCTTCCATTCTTATTTGGTCCTCGTGGTACATTTCCAGAGTCCCAGTATGGTGATGGACTTGAGTCGTTCCCTTCAGCTGTTCTTGTTGTGATTGAAGATAATTTCATGGTGAGGGAAGTTGTGATATCAGAGGTTTTAGGTGCCAAGTTTGAAATGGGAATCCACTGAGGACAATATACTTTCACACACAGGTTGCAAAATTATCGACTATTATATGACAAAAGATCTGTTTGGTTTGAAAAGTATGATCAAATTTTAGTATTAGAGTTAAAGAGTATGGTGTTTGGGTCTATTTTAATGGTATTATGGCTAGGTATTCAGGGATTCCCACATTTTGCCCTGTCAGAAATCCCCACCCCCACTTATTGACACAGTTCCGAGGTTCTGTACAGGAAAAAAACAGAATGGGAATCAAAGTGCAATTTTATTTATAGCCAGACAAGCAAATAATCCAAATGAGAAGAATGTGTGTGCGTGTGTGTGTGTTGGGGGTATATGGTGGAAATATTGACCTAGAAGATGATGAATTTTGCTTCATGAAAAGGAAGTGAAGTTCAAGAGTGTTGCACACCTTTCCTCAAAAGGTAAAACCCAATCAGCATCTCAGGTGGGAAGCCTGAGAAGGAGATGCATAAAACCATGCCTTCAAATGCCTAATAATTCACACCAGACATCACAGCCCAATTAATGCTGAAGGCAACTGGTGTGTGCTTGGAGGGAAATGAAGAAAGGCACCAGCTGAGGTGTGGGAAGAGGGGCTGAAGTTGCCCCTCTTGACAACATAGTCCCTCAGAACCCAGTTGTGTCCCTGGATTAAGTCTAGAATGAGGGACTTTCTCTAGTTCCAGGCTCTAAACCTAATTCTCACCATGGAGAAAGCAAGAATGTTGTTTAAAGGAGTAGAACCTTTTTTTTTCAAGAGATCATGATTAATCAGATAATCTCAGAACCTAGAGCCATTAGCTCATGGCTATTTGATACAAACCTACTTAATAATCCATGGACATTCTATTTTTTTAATTGTTTTATCATTTTTTATTTTTTTAGACAGAGAGGTCAGGGAGGGGCAGAGGGAGAAGGAGAGAGAGCCCCTGACATAAGGCTTGGTCTCACAACCTGAGATCATGACCTGAGCTGAAACTGAGTTGGATACTTAACCAACTGAACCACCCAGGATATATATATCCTGACTGAATAAGTAAATCTCTCTCTCTCTCTCTCTCTCTCACACACACACACACACACACACACATATATATATATACAGGGACCATATTTACCTCCTCTTTCATTGATGGTGAAAGTATACAGTAACTTCTCACTCTTGAAATTAGTCAGGTCTTTATGGAACAGAGGGTGGTGGAAATGGCATGCACCAGGATGCAGCATGATAATAACAGTAGCTACCATTTATTGCCTTATCTTATGCCTATAATTGTGTCTCCTGTTTTATATACATTATGTCATTTAATCCTGGCCACTCTTTTCATATGAGGAAACAAGATCAGGAGGATAAACAGTTTGTCCAAAGCTCCTGTCTGTCTATAATTTTCTCATTGTACATCTAGATTTGGTGAGCTCCATGTACTTAGAACATGTCTTGGTGTTAGATTTATGTTTGCATATACATCT